CAGTCTGTGCAGAGAGTTGAAACCCCCACAATGAACGACGACGTGAAGGCCAATCGACGAGATGCGCCCAATGAAAATTGATTCGTCCCCGCGTCAATCAATCGATTAACAGTCGAAAAGTACACAGGCGTGTGGCTGCGAAAGCCGCCGCCGCCGCTTTTGTTCTGAGCGCGAATGTATTATGAAGCGGAAATTGTTGTGAAAATATTTACAGTATCATATATCGTTCGAATTCGAAGGATTATTGAAAGGAGGATATTTCTATAAAAGTGTATCAATAATTGATGAACGCAAGTGACCGTTGACCCCGCCTACACCGTCATCCCTTCGACGGTCCTTCGCCGTCTTGGCAAAGGACAGGTCCAGACACACGTGTGTGGGCCGAAGTGATTTCGACCGGATGATAGGTTCTCGAAATTAGAAAATGCCAGCACGCCTCCGCCGGGAAACAATTATTTGTTGCAAGCGTCTCATGAAGTACGTGCGACGCCTCGATGAAACTGTTACTGTACACTTACGTATAGCCGTTCGTAAAATGTCGCGCACGTTCTTGCGTTTCAGTTTGTCCTGATATAAAACTGGTACCGAGTGCCTCGCAGGCGACCCTCGCCAGATAAGGATAAAGTTTTGATAAATATCCTCGAAGATGTATCATAATGTAACACTCCGTACTTCTAAAATTATAACGCAGCCGCGAAGATTCACGGAATAGCGATCTCCTCTCCTTTCTTTCGCGAACAAAAGTCGATAACGCTTCATTAAATCTCCAAAATCGTCACGAAAATTTAATGGCAACTGACACGCGAGTCTTCCCGGAATAGATACCGCATCTCTCTCGCTGAGTGACTGAATCATACATTGGCGTATTACCAAAAAGAGATTATGAGCTTGGAGAAATGAGAGATTACGAGGCGAGATATAGTTACGTACTTCAGACACGCTATGCTCATACAGGCTATTTTTCGAGACGGTATAATGGAGATGTAGCGTAACATGCTCGATGTGCTTATTTTAATGAGAGTCCGGCTGGTGTAAGTCGAAACTTTTCCCGATAACATTGCCGGCTCTACCGAGGTTGTAAAGTAGTTAAGTCGGCATGTGATTTATGGCTGACACGACGAGTCTGTTTCTACTTGAGCATTTTTTTATCAATATGAATGAGATGAGCGCACTTAATTCCCGACTGTACTTATTGTTAGTTAATAGAGTATTTAAATACAGTCGCGCTTTTTTCCCCGGATTCCAACACTTTTCGATATTCCCGTGTTTCCTCTGTCCGATAAGTTTATTGCGAGCAGTCGTGTCGATATCTTTTATTGGAAAAGTTTATTGAATGTAACATTATTGATAATATGCACATTAATATATTAATTTCTCTTCTTTACGTTACTTTATTGAACTTTTTGTCCCACAGCGGAATATCGCGCAATCCCGGCAGTCCGCGAGTTTTCACATTATTGATGTAATAACAACATCAGATGACAAGAGGAAATTTTAAGCACGTAGAAAGTTAGTCCCGAGCATTGCCGAAGGAATAGTCGTCAGTTTCAGACGTCGTAATGGCGTTGAATAATGCATTCCTCGTTTGCAGCAATGATATTTACAAGCAAACATTTCAAAACACGAATCACATTCTTCAGTAAAAGCAACAAATTATTCATGAGAAATATGAGATACGATTTTCTTTCGTACTTTTACTTCAAAGTGAACGCTTCCGCTCCTATCCCTTTCCAAAAGCGTTTGCATCACTTTTGTACAATCCGATATTTCTCTCGATCTAAAGTAGCGGAAAGAACAGAAACCAATATTCGTTGATGTTTGCATTACTGCTAAAAGAGCAAAAGAAAGAAAAAAAAAAAAAAGAAAAGAGAGAAAGAAGAAAGGCGGACTTTAGCCTCTAGCACATAATGACACACGATTGAGCAAGCGTATCGTTTATCTCACGCAAATGTGTCTTTACGAAACGTCATTCAGAGAGCTTGCAAGTTACACACGCGCGCACGCGACGCAAGGGCGTTGATTATCCCCGTGTAACACCTCTACCCTTCAGTTCCCTTCGTAATTAAAGTCGAAACGCGAAAAAGAATGTCCCGCGACACGTGGTAATTCCATTTGAGCACCACGAGTACCGCTAATAATTAATAATCCAAATGAAAAATGCGCGCTTGTACGCGCCGCGGTGAATTTCGATTATAAAGAAGAAAAAAGCACCGAATTAGAATATCCGTATCTACATGTTACAGGCAATTCGGATTGCTTTTTTCATCAGCCACTCCTGAAAGATTTTAATTCCGACTACTAAAATTCCAGAATTAATTAGCACGTTATACTTATATACCGCACCTAATTACAAAAGGCAATTAAGGAAACTGAGAAGAATACGTTTGTTATGTAAACATAGCTGCGCCACTACGTTTAAATGTGTACGAAAAAGGCGTTGTTATTGCCCTTTGAAAGATCGCGTCGGCGCGTCCCACAAAGGATGCGCTTTAATTAATGATATTAAGACTGTCCGTATTATCAGATTAATTAAACGATCTTTCTTCTGTTGCATTTCAGTTTTCATTATCAATGAAAACTGCAACTTGCTAACAAGGCGGATCGATAAGAGGTATACAGCGATGTTCGTATATAACACGTCCTGTTTCATTGTTCACGATTTTTTTGCGTCTTTGTTATGAATTCTTTTTGCATGATAGTAATGAGATAACAATTTTTTATCGCAACTTTCCTTTTTATAAAATCTGAACTAACAATGCGACACAGCGCAAATTCTGCATATTGTCCGTATTGTATAATCGTGTGGATTTGTATCCGTACGTAATTGTGGAAAAATCTCAGAATAACGGAAGATCATTAGATGGATTTACACGAGTTAACTAACAATGAGAATTGTTACAAAGAATATTACTCTATCACCACTCGCGCCCGATAATTTTTTCGCTCGTATGTCTGCAAGATTGACGAAAATTTAACAAGTTACGAAATTATGTGGCAAAATAATTTATTTTCATAATACTTTGCCTCTTTATTCTTTGTTAAAATCCTATTTAATAAGTGAAAACGAGTTAAATCTCCCGTATACATTTATGTTATTGCTCTTGTGGCGAAACTTCCTTTTCGCGCGAAACAGTTTATTTGCAATTAGTTTTCTCATAAGACGGAGAATGTATATAGATATGTATATAGCGAAGGAAGTAATAAAGAGAAAGGGAAATGTCGAAAAATGCCCGTTATCATATGGTATAATTTCGCAAACTACGCTTTTTAATTCCTCGTAGTTTCTGCGATTATGTCAGGAAATGCTAGTGTATTCGCGCATTACTTCTCATTTCTATGAGATTTATTTGACATCGCGCGTCGGTAATATCCGCGCTCTCGTACTCGAAAATAGGTACGTATTTCACGGTATATTTCGCTCTCTCATTTTCGGGGATTATCAAATTTTGGAATTTTTTATATTTTTCTATATTCGCTTATTTTACGTTTGCAAATATATTGTATGTACACGCATATATATTCCGATAACACATTTGAATCCTTTTTCGAAAAAATTAATAAAATAACACGATCTTGATGACAGTGACATATGAGTTGTTTATTTGGAAAGCTAGTTATTATTATTTGTCATGACATTTTACAATCGGAATATATTACTGTAAATACCGTGTATCACGTTATTGAATAATTATCGGGAAATTTTACTAGCCCGAGTCCAGCATATTTCACCGTTTTCTTCGGCGTTTACATCTGAATTTTCCATCATCCCTCTGAACTCTCCGATGCGAACACTTGGTGCGAAGTTTCCACTCACCTCTAGAGATTGTAAACAGTATAATAATGGCCGTTCTTATTACAGGCTGGTACAATGGGAGTTTCGGGAAAACTTTCCAGATTTGCCATTCCTCAGCATTCTAATTAGTAATGCTAACGAAACTTCGCGGAATAATGAACGCCGAAGCAGTATTGAATTAAGTGCTGTCGCATGCATTAACGTGTGTCAGCGCTGTTCAGATTTTGCCAAACTGTCAGCAAGCGAGGAAGGGATCGTTTTCGTGTTTGCCTTACTTAAATTAACACGAAATTAACGGAACAGCGACCCAATGAAATTGAGAAGCTACACGCGAGGATATCATTCGTCACATAGTGATATAATGATAATACAAATGATAAATCTATTAGTTTAATTAAGCCATTATTACGGAATAATACTGCGAAGCGTGAAAAGGTAAAAATGAAAATACGTGGAGAAATGTATTTTCTAGGTTGAAGATTACTTCAGCAAAGCCAAGAGATTATCATTGAAGTGAAAAATATTACTAATAGCAGCGTCTTTTTTTCCCCAACTTTTTCTGTTACAAGTTGTTAAAACTCCCTCATAAAAGATTTTCCGTAAATATTTTACGCCACCATGTCAGCATGTTATTACTACACATTACGAGTAAAGACGGTATTGTAGAAGTAAATACAGGCGATATCAGAGACTCTCCGTGTCTAACAGTCCATTTACCAAAAGTTTACCGAGTTCTTGTCATCGTCAAGTATTTTCGTTCCGCCTGAGTTTGTGTTCGGGCACGTTTTTGCCCTTCAACCTCAAGGGATGTGTCGATCTATTAGGTCGACACGGTATTAGCTTTCCTCAGTATCGCTGAATAGCTCTTTACTTAGCGCCTACTCTTTTTCAATGGACGAGGTGGAATTTCACGGACATCGCGAGGCAGAATCAATACCACGGAACGTAAGAATTAAAAACGAGACGAAGCAGACCGCAATTTTCTACCGCTCTTGTATTCTTTATCGACGTGTGCGAGAGGTACGGTAACAATCGCGCTATAATACATGTAACAACAATTATTGTGCCCGGCATGGAACCGGAAATTCTACGAACAAATAGCATTTGTCCAGGGGAAGCGAGGCTTCGCTCGAGCCAATAAACCGTATTTTCGCGGTCTGCTCGTCCGCTCGAACCAGATTATCGATACTTCGATTATTCCACTTACTGCCTTAACGATGTTATTGTTTGTTCAATCAACGACATTATCTGGACAATCGTGCAACTAACCACACCGGGGCGCCCACGTCGTACCCCTTGCAGTCCCCTCTTTTCTTATCCTTTTATCCTGCAAAAAGAAAACGCGTATGAATTAACAATATAATCAAAATAGCGCGGTCAATAAATTGTAAGAGTAACAAAATATGCATGTATTTTCAATTGAATGTTGTATCATAAAAGTACAATTGAAAATCGATGCGACACACACGATAAACACACGTATTCCTCGCTTTATGCGAAACCGTAAATGTTACGTCTGCCTCTTCATCTTCTTATTATAGAAGGTATAAAACAATATGGCCGGTCAATATGGATTAACGATATAATTATAATAATATAGTCAATTTGCAGAAATATCAAACGTATATAACTCGTGTGTATTTTCGATTAAATGTCGCGTCGCGAAAATACAATCGGAAATCGATGGAAACGCGCGGCAGAGTAAACGTATATACTTGGCCAATCGCTTTATGCGCGAAACCGTGAACGTTACGCTAACTCGGTATGGAAATACATCTCGTATTTCTTCGTGCCGCCTTTCCGAGAGGTTTCTCTAGAAAATTTGCCAGATGCGACTCGGGGACGAGGGACTCGGTCTCCGCTCGCGGTCTCCGTGGGTATCCACGCGGGAGGCGTATCAAAGGACCCTCCTTATATTACGACCTAAGAGGCTTCCTTCAGTAGATTATAGCAACGTCGCGCTATTGCAACTTGCTATAAGGAGCTTACATCTCCACGCTATCAGAGACATTGCCGTGGAAAGCGATCGTGTCTTTTGCCTTGACGGACACTATCGAGTATCCACGTTGTCGATGCGAATATATATGGCCGAGTGCCTGATGCGGTGAGACCGCCGCTTTAGACCTGGACATGCAATTAATCGCGAGTTAATCAAATTAGCGGCTATTGTCCTTGGGAACTACTGGAACCGCGATCGAAGTGTCAACCGCAAAGGGAATGACTCTAAATAGATCCCGTGAAACGATTCAAACTTCGTACTCCATTTGCAACGTTTTCCTTCCCTTCAATCATTTCTATAAACCCGACATTTTTCGAATAAAAATCATCTTCGAACGGAAAGTATTTCTTTGTTATTCAAAAAGATGAAAATTTTACACATGTCGGACACTGTTCCTCTCTTAAGATTTCCATACTTCGCTTATATTTTCAAATAGCTTAAGCTTCTGCGCTGTTTGCATGCGTCAAGAGATGAATAAGAATAAGATTTTCTCACAAGAAAGTCTGTTCAAACTTATCTGTTAAAATTATCCCTCGTGCAGAAACATAAACCGGCATTCAAGCCCGATGAGATTAAAGTCGGATCTGATCAAAAGGCAATGATAATAATTCGCAGCCCTCTGTTTAATTCTTTGTCACTCGTTCCGTCGCCGTCTGATCTTGCAATGTTTTTGAAACAGATTTACTCGCGCCGCGCCGACGCGACGTGTGGTGGTAACGAGGAAATATCGTTCCACGAATCGATCCGTGGCGTGAAAAGGTCACCGAGAAGGGGTCGTCGCTTGTCGAACGTGGCGGATGCCGTGTCGATTATACCGAGCAATGTGGCCGCATGAATATGCGCCCCAAACGAGAAATACCGGGATTTCGTGATGCGCTACAGCATTCGGCGGGATGCATCGAGTCGCGTACTTGATCAAACTTGAATACGCGGAACGATATATTCATACGCGGTGATTTTGCAACATTATCGCAGACCTTCCGTCATATAGATTCAAATTGTATTCGATTTACATCGAAGAGATTGGTATTGTTTTCGCATTTGTTTCGAGCATCTTGAAATGTTTATCGAATCACGAGTGCAAAATTAATGTCCCTATCTTAATATTGGATCAAAATACTTGAACATTTATAAAGACTTAAAAATTTCACAGCAAATATGACACCCTACATCTACATATATATAGGTATGTAAATATAGAATGTTCTATCTCCATAACTTTTTAATGTCAGATTTCTGATTTGGAGACGAAACTCCTGATACCAAAATGTCATAACTTTCAAATAGGAAGCGTTCAACTACGGCGAATTTGTACGGCAAAAGTTCGTACGCTCAGATTTGGCGCACCGCACATATTGCCGGTGCATGGCGCAGCGCGCAGTGCTTCAAGAGGAAGTGGAGGAAGCCCTCATCTATCGACCTGCTTCCTGATATCGACATAATTCGATGTACAACAAACTTGAAGTCTTTTCAACACGTTCCGATGTATACAGAGTGATTATTAATGCATTGTACGTGCAAAAACATTGCACGGAATATTGTCCTAATTTAATAAGTACGTATGTGACGAGTAACATTATTTACTCGTACATATTGCAAGTATGTTCAATATCAAAAATGATGAGCCAATTTTTACCTTTATGACAAGTTAAAATAAGGTTAAACATTTCGACATATCAATAAGTTACTTAAAACAATTTGTAACATTTCAACAAAGCTGAAATTCAAAACTGTCATCTGAAATAAAAAATATCTGATTCGAAATATTGTGATTTCATTTATTATGAAATCTGTACTATCTCGAGAATATCTTGTTAAAAAAATTATACGATATACCATTTACATTTCAGATGTCTTTAAGACATACGTGTTGTTTGGGATATTAAAGAAAATTAAAATTTAATTAATATGAAAATATGAACAATATTGAATAAAAATACAAAAATTGTAGTTGCTGTAATATTTGAAATACATTTGTATCGTTACAACGTATTTTATAATTATTTTGTTTCATCATATCCTGTTGCAAAGAAATTATATTGTCATAAAAATACATTTTGATAACAATGCAATAACTCGATACTTTGGAATTAATATTTTGCTCATTTCTATTCACCGATGTCATAATTATTATACTTTGACATCATTATTGTGGGGTTTTGTATTACAGTAATGCACTTTCTTTTATTTCGTTTAAATCCTGAGAGATGCAGAACGCTTATTAAAAAAGAAACTAGGTTAACATATTTTCACTAATCATGAAAACCTCAATTTCCGTTTACTTCTCGACATTCGGTCGATAAGTCGCGAGACCGCTGTAATCTTTCTCAACTGTTAAGTTTACTTTGATGTTCCGATACCGCTCTTATGCCGCATGCCATGTGTGATTTCCTCGCACATGAATAGCGTCTATATCACGGAGTGTGGTAGGTGGACGGATTGCGATTCGCGTACGTCGTCGTCGTCGTATCATGATACAACAATGCGGTATATAACTCCTATTCCAGCCATATCAACGGACTATCGCAGCAGTATCTCGTGTTATGCGCGATACAGAAGGAATTGTTGCGCTCTTAAAGTTCGAGCTTACTCTTAATTTTCTTTTTCATCTCTCCTTCGCCTCTCTCTCTCTCTCTCTCTCTCTCTCTCTCTCTCTCTCTCTCTCTTCTCATTTCCCGCGTTGCGGCTCTTTTCCGAAATAGGTTGTACCGTATATAGGATTGACGGGTCCGCGGGTATATACGCAAGGTTTTAGTACCGGGCACCGTTTTCTCGCTCGCCAGTCTATACGTCTAAGCTTCCTATGATACTGCACAGCGCATATGACAATTTAAGCATCTGGGTCAGATAGGCACACAGAGACGCGGTTTCCTCCTCTTCGCCATGATCATTCCATCACGGCGCAAATATTGAATTTGCATGGTCGTCTCGTTTCTGCAATGCAGATGTATCCGCTCCGAGAATGTGCCTATGTGTGTCGGCCGCTCGCCGCTCGTACATACACGCGTCATGTACGACGACGCGGCGACACCGTTTATTGCTCTTTGCGATGGATTCGATACATCCCTATTGTATCAACTCCCCGTCTAATGAAATCTGATTCGCGAAAAACGAATTTCCCGTCATGGCGCAGAAAATATTATCACCCAACTCCAAGAGTCGTATTTCCCGAGTTGCGGACAGCGCTGTTGATATCGATACCTTTTCGATATTATCCACGGATAAATATCGATGTCGTAAATTTGCATTTATGAAATCTAATACGCCGATATCAGTTTTATCCACGCTCGCGCTAGCGGACCGCCATAAATATTTGCGAGAGTTTCAGCTTTCGGACTCTTAGGAAATTAAGTGAATACCCTCGCCCTTTAACGTATTCGACTTGGATGCGGGATTCAAAGTTGGATAAGATATAATGCGCCGGCAAGAGTCGCGTACAAAGACAAAGCGGAAAAAGCAGATACATAATGCGCGCTATGTTCTTGACATACATATTCCCGTGTCTTTGAAAATATATTTTCATATTACGACAAAAATATGAGACTTCCAAGGATTGCCGACGTGAAAGCACATCCGTGTGTCACGCACACGCGTTTGTTTCTCCTTTGAGTAAGAATTTTTATATCATAACGAGAATACCCTCTCCTGCGCTCTTGAAGAAGAGCAGTCTGAGCGAGATTGTGGCATTGCTCGTACACGGCTTGTACATGGGATATTTGCCTTTGCAAGCACCCGATCCGCGGGATTATGGCGATTGTGCGATGCGTAGCTACATTACGTCGGCGAAATCGACGGCGGTATGCGGAGACGACGTATTCGATACTCGACCATGTAGCGCGGTATGTATGATGTAAGGATTTCTCTATGTGGAGGTCCTCTCACAGACGAGAGCGCAAACACGCTGCAAAGCGATTCCGAATTCCAGATATATTTGAACATTCGAATGTCATTAGAGATATTAGAGATATTAAGGTCAATATTTCAAGTCACTTTTCATAATTAAGGTAATCGGATCAAAGAAAATGAATGATTTTAAGTATTAATAGCGTTATATTCTGATAATCATTAAACTGAGATATTTATACGCGTTCTTATCTATTTATGATCATATTCTCATTGGTACAATTGACATCGCAAATTAACCACTGTGATCATTATGTCTTCGCGTGAATAAAAAGAGCAAGTTTTCGAATAAAATAAACAAAAGTCGATAATACGTCATTTTTTCGATCGTTGCTTCATTAATCATTCAATCTCCGGAAGAAACGTATTCGTTCACAATCGATTCCGCTATTTCGGCCGGGTCTAGTTTCGTTGGGAGGAGGGGG